ATGATTCTCTGCCCTCCTCCGTCAGAGCCAATCCTGAACACGTGCTGTTGGCTTTCTGTTTGAAAAAATAACAATGCACTCGATAGCCTGACTTCTTACCTGCCCGCTTCCTCCACTCCAGCCCAACCCATGGTCTCCTCCTGGACTGTGCCACTGGCCTTCTAATGCATCCCCGACTCCTCATTTTGAAAGTCTGTGTCCACACAGAGTCGGCTCCAAATACATAAATCAGATTGTGGCATGTCCCTACTTAAAACTCTCCATTGGCTTTCAATTACACGTAGAATAAAAGTCAGACTCTTTATGAGCCTTAGAAAGCCCTGCAGGACCTCCCTGCCCCCCCTTGCTGGCCTCGCCGGCTCTCCTAGGATTCAATTCCAGCCTCACTGGGCTGTGCATTACCCCCCTGGGGTCTTGCACCTGAAGTTCCTCCGCTGGAATGCTGCCCCCTCAAATCTTGACAGCCTTTACTTTATTCAGATCTCTGATGGGCCATGCTCACTCTGCTGTTTCTCCTCACAGCACTTAGCACTCCCGGCACCTGTCTGAAACTTTGACTTATCACCTTGCTCATTATCTATCAGCCCTCTTAGGATGTGAACTAGGAAGAAGCTTGGCCTGTCTTGTTCACCACTGTCGGTCAGTGCCCGGCACGCAACGGGTGTTCCATGAATATTTGTTGAGTGAATCAATGCACACACAGACAATGCACAGACCCCCAGTTATACTGCAGGTTCTGAAAGCTTCAAAGAAAGGCTTTCATTTTCCTATCCTCCATTTAAATCCCACACACCAGGGCTTAACTTATTGATGTAGATTTAATTTTAGTGTTCACCTCGAATGCCCCTTTCCTCTATGCGCCTGGCGACTGTGAAATTTTGATCATGTTCTTCCCCATAAGTTCAAACACTTTTTTCTCCTCTCTCTTCACAGCAGGTGAAAAGCTGAGTGGGGTACAGCTGCATCCCAGTAACCAACAGGAGATGAAAAGTAATGTGGAGAAAGTGCTTCAGTTTGTAGCCTCCAAAAAGATCCGCATGCACCAGACTTCTGCTAAAGGTCAGTAGCTCGTCGCACTCTCTGGTGGCACCCTCAGCTTGCTGGCCTCAGAACAAGCCTCCGTTGTGTGGTGGAGGGTTCTGGGTAGACAGGACTAGAACAAGTCCCGTGGCCTCCTACCATTTCTCCATCCAGTAAGTGAGTGATTATCTGTGAGGATCTGAGCGCTCTGGAAACCGGGGTGGAGAGCGACAGTCTTTATTCATTTCCACTGGTTTCAGGTCGGCTCCCAGTGTGGGTAAGAAAATGAATGGCGAGGGAAGAAATTACACAGTTGGGATATTAATTTTAGAACGTCTTACTTAAGTTATCAAAAATGAGGATAATATTTTTTCAAGTTCTGTTGGTTTCAAAACTGAGTAGTATTATTTCATAACTTTCATAGCCTACATTTTTTCTATCCCATTTTCTAGAAGGAACATTCTTTAGTACATTTTTGGGAGACCACAGGACATTCCAGGCAGGATGAATGGGGCCCTTTGACCTCGGCTCAGGGTGTGTCCTGTAGCCACATTGCTAGTCTGGCGGGAGTTGGCCACTTTGAGCCCAGCTTGGCAGGCTCCCTGCTCCTGCTGCAGCTTTTGTTTCTGGGCATTGCCCAGCAAGTGTGACGAAAAGGCGAGCAGGATGCAGCCCTCCCCTCACATGGAATTATTAATGTTCTCTGTGTTGGCGTCACTCCGATACCGACCATCGGCAGTACCCTGTAAGAGGTCTCCAACACTCCTTTCCCCAGCCTTGTCTATTAAAAACAAAAAACAAAAACATACAACTATGAAACAGAAAAAGAAAAACAGAATTTTACCTGTTTCCTGACATGAATTCTCACCAGACCTGTCACATTGCTTTCTGCCCACATCCCTCAGTTTTTCTTGGGCAAAACATAAAGGTTCTGGGTAGCTCTGATCTGGTCCCTTGGGGAGCAGCTTGGGGAGCTGGCCCCGGAAAGCCGGCTCTTCTGAGAGGACGCTGCCATTCCGGACTTCACTGCTCTTTACCTTGAGAAGTCCAGCAGCCTCCTGACAGCCCTGCTGGGTGCATCCCCTGCTGTCCCCTCGGGTCTGCTCTCCCTTCCCTGTGGCCAGCATGACCTTTCTACACATGCCACTCCG